TCTCTCTCTCTCTCTCTCTCTCTCTCTCTCTCTCTCTCTCTCTCTCTCTCTCTCTCTCTCTTTCTCTCTCTCTCCCTTCCGCCCACCCTGTTTTTCTTTTTACCCTTAATCGAGGATTCTTTAAGGACTCGCGCGCGGCCGGCCGAGCGGACGGCCGTGAGGCCGCGAAGAACGGCCCCGGCATACGGTATACGAGATTATTTTCTGGCAGGACTCGTTAGGCGCGGGATAAGGGGACCGGCAGCGCTTATTATGTATTATTAAATGTTGTCGAGGCAATTGGATTAAAATACGAGGGTACAGATCGGATGCAATCGATAAACGATATCACATACAAATTTAAATCGTGCGTATTTATTGCGTAGCGCGTTTGTCGCGGTCGACGCAGGCGCGACGCAAAAGGATTCCGCTCCGAAGGATTCCGGCCGAGGAAAACGGAAGCCGATGGGACGGCGTCGCGCCGCGGCGCAGCCCCCGTAAAGGGTGTGTAATCGGACCTACGCGAGCGTGTCGATTCGCGCCCCGGGGATTACACGGGGATAAGCGTGGCGAACGCGCGTAACGCGGGTGAAAAGGACTCCGGGCGCGCGTCTCAAGGATTCGAAAGCGGTCCCCGCGGTTGCATTTCGGCCTCTTTGAAATGAGAGGGGCGTTAAATCCGTGTGTAAACCCGCGGAGCCGTTGGTAATTAGCGTGGGCTCACTAACGAGGGTTTTCACGGCGCTCCTCGACGCGAGCGCGCGGCATACACGACGCGAGCTCGCGCGCGCGCGCGCGCGCTCGCACTCTACCTGGATAAACGTGACGAGAAAAGAGGAAAGAAAAGAGAGACGCACGATGTGCGTGCGACCCCGCGTTCGCGACGTAGGCGTGGTACCGTGCAAAATGGCACGAACGCCGGCCGCCTCGCAGCGACAGGAACGCGAGAACGATATCGCGCGGATAATTAAGGCAAAAAGAATCGCTATCTCGGCTAATACGCGCCGACTCGATTATTGTATCCCGTGTCCTGGCGAACGCGATTTTCACCGAACTGTTAGCGCTGTGGGATCAAGTATCTTGCAAGTAGAGGTTCGAGTCTGTTGGCGTAGTTTCGAACTCTCTACGATCGCTTCGAGAGATAAAAGCATTATACTTTCGAGTATACTCGAACCTGGACGAAATAGGTTGAAATCTTTCACCAGTGCTTTATTAAGAATTTTATTTCTTTCGAATCAAAACGTTCTCTAAAAATCAATCAGTGGATTATCACTGAAAACGGTGAATTTACAGTTATAAGTGCACCACTGAAAATCGCAGTGGTATTCTTATAACTGTAAAACGGTGACTATTCACTGTTTTCGGTGATAATTCAATGCTTGATTTTTAGAGAGTTTGTATAAAGAAAATTATTTAAGGGGAAGGAGAAAGACAAAAACGACTTTATCGCACACTTTAGAGTCTGACAAATCGTCAATTAAGGTAATGCGGTACAGACCGATTCCACGGGACACGATATGCTCTCACGGAAATCCTCATGGGAATTAAAAAAAAACTGGTCGATCTTATCAGGCTCTATCGCTGAGAATAAACACCGAGCACCCTGCACGTCTAACCCCTCCCGAGATAACCCCGTAATTGAGGGTTAGCGATAAGCGCGCATAACGATACACTCCATGATTTCCGTCGTAACCCGTTCTCGTCTATGATCTCTAACCGCTATACCTAGCGCGCAATCGCTCCTCCTCGCTCCGTCGTTCCGTTGAAGTTTTTCGACGTCTTATCTTCGCCGCACGCGACAACCGCGATTCCTCGGACATTCCTTTTTCCGTGCGTTTAACGACGTTCGAGATTACACGATGAAATCACGAGCAAATCTTCTTCGTACATCGCTGAAATCGGCATTCTGCTTCTCGATGTTATATATTCGATGGAGTCCCTACCCTAGTAGCACAGCACATTGGCAAAACATTGGCTAAATATTGGTCCAATGTTAATTATATTAGAAATGCATTGGTCGATAATGTCCAACGTAAAGCCAATATTGGCCATTGGAATAAATGTAAACATTGCACAATAATTATATAATATTAGATTTATATTGGAAGTGCTTTAGCTAATATTTAACAATGTGATAAGAATATTGGTCTAATATTGACACAATATTAGCCCACCATTGCTAAATAAAAGAAGGCGTCCATCTTACAATACTGGACCAATATTGGGAATACTAGATTTACATTATTTCCCAATATTGCACCAATATATTGTGCTACTAGGGTAGTAGCACAATGCATTGACCAAACATTGGTTAAACATTGGCCGAATATTTGATTGTTTAGCCAATGCACTGTGTGTGCTACTAGGAGTTTTCTTGAGAGAATGTTAACGCGTCTCGAAAAGATACGTTGCTTCAGCGGAAATTCCATTTATCATATTAATAGTCTTTTTGCCGGGCACAGCTTTAAAGTTACTTCCGAAGATACGTTCGAACCTTCTACACGATCGTCGCGGCAACTAGAAATATCAAATCGGCAGCCATTACGACGGCGGATCGGAAGGAGCGTTGCACAATTTTCCGCGTATCGAGGTCGAGCTCGCGATTTTATCGAGTTCGCCGACGATCTAAATGATTTTTCATCGACGAGCGCCGAGTGACGCGCCGAGGACACCGCTCGAAGACTGAAGTGCAGGAGGAAATAGCGTTTTAGTTTCTCTCTCTCTCTTCCTTCTTTTTTCTTTTCTTTTTCCCCTTTTTTCCTTTCGGATCGTTATCAGGTCGCTATTTTTAAACCGCCTGTCTTCCCACGATGGAGGAAGGCCCGACGGGGGGGCGCGCGGGACGCGGTGATCGGGCATTAATTAGCCAATTTGCGTTAATTGGCGACCGAGGACATTTTTCCGCGAGGCGCGCGTTTCCCAGGCCGGGGAAACGAGTGCGTCATAATTGAGTTAGCGTTACGTATTTTTTAAGGCCGCGTCGCGCTTCCTCGCCCTCTACTTCCCTCCCCGACGCGCCGCGTTCCTCCTCCTTCTTTCTCTCCTTCGGTTTTTCTCTCCCGCGCCACCCCTTCTTCTTTTTTCCCCCCTCGCGGGAGTTAAGCCCGCGAGGCTTAACAGCGTGGCTACATGCGTGCGTGTCTATGTTAACGCGTCGCTAATGCGACTCGCGACGATTAAAACGCTTCGCGAAAACAACGATGGCCGAGGAAGCTAGGAAAGAAAAAAAAATATCCCTTGGACGCATTTGTTCTGTTACAGCTATTTATTAATTTTTTTGCTCTAAACAGGAAATATACATAAAATATCGAATCATTAATAATGTGAGAAATACACCTAGGATATTTCATTCACATATTATTATAGAGTAATTTTTTGTGCAAACGTCGACTGTATTAATTAGCCTTTAGTTCGATGAATTTTTACATGACTTCCAAAACGATATCTCTCTCTCTCTCACACACACACACACACACACACACACACACACACACACACACACACACACACACACACACACACACAAATTCGCTTAAAAAAATACTTCAGAAAAAAACATTTGATAACCTGATCGCCTTTTTTTGTTCATTATTTTTTAAAATAAGTCACACTTCGAATTCATAGAAGCAAAAGATACAGGTGGGACTTGTATGACCCAATGGCCACAAAAGGGTTAAAGTGTAACGGAAGCCTGCATTTTAAGAAGTTTATGCCAAAGCGCGATTTTTCAAAAACTTTTCCCATATCGCTCGCACGAAACGAATGGCGGTTCGGAGGTGAGAGAAACGTACGGGTCCGCCGCGCGACACACTTACTTGGTGGCGACGGGTACCAGGGTCCAGTCGTATCCTTGGAGCACCTTGGCGACCGCGGCGCTGATGCCCTCGCCACCGTTGGCGGCCACCGTCGCCGCGGCGGCCGCAGCGGCGACGGCCGTCGCCGACGCCTTGCCGCTGCCGTTGATGCTGTTGTTGTTGTTGTTGTTGTTAGTCCCGCCCGCCGGCGAAATCGGCTGAGCGCCGCTGCACTCCGGCTTGACGTCGTTCATCTTCATCCCCCTGCGTCGCCGTACGTTCGCGCGGGCAAACGAGCAGAGGCCGTCGAGGGGCGTCGAAGAGGACGCCGCGTATCACCCCTGGCGATTTATCGCGCGCGCGACACGCGGAAGGCGCGTCTCATCATCGTCTCTCTCGGCCCCGCGATCGATCAATTTGTCATCGCCGCCGGTTATCGCCGCCGCTTTTTGTTATCGTCTTATCATCGCGGCGCGAGAGCGTCTCTTCCGTTTCCCCGCAATTCGCCCCGCGCGGCCCCCGACGATAAAGTTTCGCCCAGCTGCCGGCCGATTTCTCTCCGCTCGCTCTCGATCCTATCCTCCTCCCCTCGCGGACTTTTCCGGCCGTTCCGATCGAGTCTGTGTCACGTACGTAATCAATTTCGCTCGCGAGTATCTCGCGACGCGCACGCGTGACTCCGCAGCGTTCCTCTCCTATCTCCGCGTCGGTCGGCCTTTTCGCTCGCCGCAGTTCGCCGAACTCCAGCCGCTCCTTATCTGCGGCCGCTCCTCTTTGTCCGTCTCGGAGCCTCGCGCCTGGTCCCCGCGTATCCCGTAAAATGGACAGTTTTCCTCTTATCCTTCCCCGTAGATCGTCGCACTTGGGCGATCTCCGTTTTCCTGCCCTGAGCCAGCGAACCCCCGATTCGCTCAGCTGAACAACACGTGTCTCGGTAAACAGATATCACTGACGTTTAAACGGATTCTCGCGTCATTACAGTTTACCGTTCGTCGTGGGTCCTCCGGAAGGGACGACGTCCAGGTGTCATCGCGCCGTGAGATCGACCGGTGACAGATCACCAGAGCCGGAAGCGTTCGCGGAGTCTCTCGGCAGATCCGTTCGTCGGATCGTTAAGGAACCGTTAACTCGACACCCGGAACCGTCCGGTCCAGGTCTCTCGCGAGTCGGCGACGACTTCGCACCTCTCGGCCCCTCTTCCGAAGCGTCCGAACAGTTTCACACAACGACACCGTGAACTCCGGTATCTCCGCTCGCCGGGCCCGCAGACGACGGCGGCTCGCGTTCGCATTTACTCGCGGTGACTCGCGCCGAGCTGAAGCGCTCTCGGGGTTTCGGCGGGTCGCTTGTCGCGCGATCGGCGCTCGAGTGAGGTGGTTGCATCGCCTCGGGGCAGTTTCCACCACGAGGCCCCGACATCGTTCACTCCGGCTCGGCCGGCTCTCGTTTTGGGGGCGGGGCGAAGGCAGCGCGCTGGTAACACTTGTTGCTCCGCGAAGTCCCGGCGACGGTCGCGTGCACCCGGGAGGGAGATGACGGCGGCGGCGGCGGCGGCAGTGCGGTGGAAGTGGCCGGGATATCTCGCGGGTGGAAGCGAGACGAGGAGAGGCACTAGCTCCGCGTATCTCGCGTCCGCGTGCTCGCCTGGCCTCGTCGTCGCCTCGACGAGGAACGCGGCCAAATAAGGCGGCACCCGCGAGGCCGTTACATTTTTTTATGTTGCCTCTTCGTATTGTAATGCACCGTCAATGGAAAGATTCCGCGTTATCGTAATCAACGTGCGAGAACCGAGCCTCGCCACGGCAGGAAGGAATCGTGATTCTTTAATCCCTGTACACTTTCAATTGCAGGCTGATCGTTACCATAATAATGAAATTGAGATTTTGCCTTTGATAGTAATTGGTTAATAAATGGTGAGAGCTGCTGAGAGTTCGCTCGTCAAAAACGAAATCCGCGTTCTCAAGTTCGATGAAAAGATAAAAGCTTCTCTACGGGCAAGTATGTAATAAACATTAATGAAATATACAATGTGATCCAGAGCAGAATACATCAAAACTGTCGCTGAGAAACAGAGTCTCGAGTACCAAATAAACGTTACACTTGTGCGGCGCGCGTTAAGCGTTCAATCGCCTTTCTTTTCGGCGTCGCCTTAATTCTCTAGTGCGAGAGTTCCATTCATACACACCTCTTCCTCCGACACTTTTCGTTCTAATACAAAGTGTTGAAGTTTTTACTCTTTTCTTTTCCAAGACCACGATTGCATTTGTGACGCGCCGCCAAGGATCGGAGACAAAGAACGCGAACGCGCCGTCTCGTTGACCAAAGAAAGGGTGTCCTGCGACAGTGTTGCACCATCCGATTGCAATCCTGGCATTTTTTTTCGCACGGGAGAGACCACTCTCGCTGACCGACAATCAGACGTTAATAATATCGCGATTCGCCTCTCTCTTCCTCGCGAGCTCTCTTTCTCTGTTCTCGGATAGATCGTCTCTCCCCTTCCTCGCGATACCGCGTTTCCCTCCCCTTCGGGCCGTCGGAGATCGCCGGTCATTCCATTTATATTTCGGTGCTCTTTGCTGACAAGAGAGTTTCCATGGCTACGATATCCTCCGGGAGGACGGGACCAATCGTGTTTCTGCTCGCTCCACCTATCTCTCGCCTCGTCCCTCTTCTTCTCTCCCTTCTTCCCTCTCCCTCCCTCCTTCCGCAGCTCTTGAGTTCTCCGCCGTCCCTGCTCGCGATCATCTCCGTTCCTCCCGACGTTGGTCCCGTCGATTGGTCCGGCGCGGTCGGCTGCAATTATGACGTCGCGTGGAGGAGAATACGCGCCGCATCAAGACCGGTTGCATTCGCGATTGCACGCTGCACTCATCGACCGACCCTCGCGGCGGCCGAACATTTACGTTTCGGCGAGGAAACGAAACGCGTGCTTCGCGAGGACTCTCAATATCGTTTCATACTTACGAATTTCGCAAACGGATTCACCCCTCGCGTTTTTGCATTCTTACTGGCTGATAGCGAAAGAGGACATGGACGTACGATAGCGGTCATGTGTAAATTTTGTAGAAATGCTACGAATTAGTTATGGATTTCTTGTAAGCACCTCGTTTTCACATTAATGAAAGCATTATTGATCAGCACATTAATTTTTACTTCTCGCAAAATACAATATAAAGCCGTCCTTTAAATCCATCATTAAAAGAATTTAGACTATGATTCGTTATTTAATCAATTGTTTTATTAATTACTATTATTATTTAGAAATGTATAACTTCTTTCGTGGGTAAATTTATTATATTTTTATGAATCAGCATGATATAATAGAGATGTCTCGTTTAATGTTTGTCAACTACATTTGCATCTCTGAACGCGCATATTAAATCTTGACGCGTCTTGGTATGCAATAGTCTCTGGAACGCAGCTCGAGTCATTAATCAAGTTGGTTGTAATTAACGATTTCGTAAGCGTCAGTCCGAGAACTCCGAACGAATTAATTAGAAAGCAATAGGAATCGACTGAGTTTCACAATGAAAATTAAGCGGGTATGGCGAGAAAGATTTGCGGATAAGGAGAACGAAGCTGCGTTCCTAGATGTGGTCAATTTTCGTAGACGAAGAGAGAGACAAGAGATTTTCATCTCGTAGTATTATCTAAGAGAAAAATATTTCCAGCTATCACACGCCAGGAAGATTATCTGGTATATAATTTGTAAGTCAAACGCGTACAGAACGCATTCCAAATAAAAGTAGTCGGCGATAGATTCGCCGTTCCTCGGAATGAAACCTACATATTTGATTAGATTATCCCATAAATAATTCAGTGTAAAAGGAAGCTTGATATATTTTTTAGTACAAAACCGAAAGATTAAGTAGAAAGAAGCAAATAATAATAGAAAATATATTTGAGATTAAAATTAAAATGTCAATTTTTTGTTTCATTAAACAAAATTTCTGTAAAACACTGCATTACTTGTAAAATGATCTATTGTTCCCCACAAGTTTGAAAAACGAATTTATCATCCGCGTGTAGAGGAAGAAATTAAATCTTCGCCGTTGAAATTAATAATCGGCCTTTAAATAAATTATCAGCGTGAAACAGCAATCTGTTCTTGTCTTCCAAGAACTCGAGAGGATCAGTCAAAATGTAACTCTTTCAACTTTAATAATTATTTCTCCAAGTTTAAGGGAAAAGCTGCGTTGATGGCTTGGTCCAAGTTCTAGTTCCGAGAAATGTGTAGCCAATCAACTTGCAGCTTTTATGGAATAGCTGCAAGTTGATTGGCCAAGTTCTAACTTGGAGCAAGTTCTAGCACCGTGGACGCAGGCCTTTACACAGTGAGAACACTAACGTCGAATCAACATCGAATCGACGGCAAAGGTTCGAAACCGCGTCCCAACCGTCAGTTTTCGAAAATAATTAAAACTTTTGAAACTTTCTTTTTTGTATTAAATTTTGTATTAAATAATTTAACTTGGCAGTGCTCCCCAATAAGATGTTAAAAGTATTCAGAACGTTGAACGTAGTAACTTAATACAAAAAAACGTTCCAAAACTTAATTATTTTCGAAAACTGACGGTTGGGACGCGATCTCAATCCCGTTGACGTCGATTCGACGGTGATTCGACATTGGCGTTCCCACTGGGTAGAGATATCCTTCGGCTGTCAAACCGCGACAAGATCCGTCGCTAAAATCACTGACAGCAGTTTAATTATCGTTTCTGCGCGGGTCGATCCCCGAGTGAGACTTGCGCCGCTCTTGCGAAAATGATTTAACCGCGATCCGAGAAAAATCGGCCCGACGTCGCGCACATCCGCGCGTGTTTGCCGACACGCGTACACTTGTACACGTGTAGCTATCGGCCTCGTGTTACTACGCAATGACGTTGCCGGGACGCGATGATGACGGCGCAGAATGTCCCGAGGCTCGTGTCTCCGTTGGGGGTCCGTGCGCGAGTCGCCGGTGCTCGCCACCCGGGGGGCTACATGTGTCGGGTACCCGGCTCCACCGGCCCCCCCGGTCCCCCGCCCACGGGATCCTTTCAAGTGCCCGACGGTACGCCGTCCCGACCCCCAGGAATTGCTGGAATTATTATTTTATCGCAGCGACCCGCGATAAAGGGAGAGTCGCCTCGCGCATTCGATATGTATTCCTCGATCTACCGCCGGGCTTACCAACGCGGTGATCTCTCCCTCGCCATTCCCGGTTCTCTGTTACATCCGTGATTAATAACGACATATAATTAATATTTATCGAGATTAAGGAGCACCGAAAGCACATTTCGAGAGCACGAAAGTGAAAGTCATATTCTTAAATTTTTTCGATAGCCTACAAAGAGATAAAGAGATCAATTTGTGTTATTGCTCATTATTTCTAGTTAAACAAATGTAACGAAAATTAATATTTAACATTCAAAATATTTGGGATGAAGGAAAATCGAAGCAATTTAGTCAAATTCATAAATAAGAGTTTTTTTTACTTTATTTACTTTCTGGAAAATGCGGCGAGTTTTGCTTCTATCGCTTCTTTTGCTCACAATCGATTAAATCATAAAATTCTTTTAAGGTATTTTTTATAATTAAGATATAAAATTTTTTTTTAATTTGATACTATTCTTTGTTCAAATGCCAATATAGCTTCGGACAGATTCAAAGAGGATGTAATAATCGCCTCGAAATAAAGAGACACGGATGTAAAGCGAGGGCGAGTGTTTCCCCGGATGGAAACGCCGAGGCTGCGCCTCAGGAGCGGCTCCGAAAGCGGGAAAGAGAGGGAGATAAACGAATTCTCGCTTACGTACACCGGGGAAAGGCGCATATTGACGCCACGTGCGCGCGCGCCGGGATGTTTATCTCGGCAAGAGCAAAATTCCGACTTCGTGAAATCAATATTATTGTTCCCGTCGGGCTAAATTTGCATTGCCGGCGCACCGGCGGCCGGTGCATAATACGAGCGCGCGCCCGGACGGACATTTGAAGGGTGCGCGGACGAGCGAGTATCTCGCGGAACGAGAGCGCGCAAATTGATGAAAAGTGTTGATCGCGCTCTTCACGTTAGTTTCAATTCGGAGAAATTTTATGATAGACACGATTTTTATTTAAGACACGGAAACAACGGCTGTAAATTACAAATAAACAGGGTTGGAAAAGTTACTTTATAAAAGGATCTAGTTATAGTTATAGTTTTTCCGCTAAAAATTTAACTAGTTACAGTTACAAGTTACCAATTCTGAAAAGTAACGCGTTACAGTTACAATTACTCGAAAAATAACGAATCGTTACTTCGCAGTTACTTTCTTGCAATGAAAATAAAAAATTGTAAAGCGTTCGTAAAGGCGTTTATGCGAAAAGGCAAGGCCTAATGCGATCTGTTAATGGAGGTTTAAAAAATATATAAAGTATTAATGTAACTATTAAATTTGTTACTAGTTATCGAAAAAATGTGACTGAGTTAAGTTGCATAAGTTACAGTTACAGATGGAGAGAAAGTAACGAAGTTACGTTAGAGTTACCGAAAAAAAGTAACTGTCACTGTAACTTTGTTACAAGTAACGAGTTACTTCCTAACCCTGCAAATAAATTATTGTGGAGGCATTGCTTTATTACATAAGTGTTATATTTAATATTATGTTATATAATTTATATGTGTGTACATTTTTATTTAAATTTATCTGCCAATACGGGGAACGCTATTATCATCTTCAATTTCATTGCGATTGCAGTTGCAACAAGTTGCTACATCAGCCGAGGTTGCTTCAAAAATATATGTAGAAGAAAATCCAGATATAGCATGTCTAAGCATGCATGTCTAAAAGACATCTTTAAAATGGCATTAAATTGTCTTTTAGACATGAACGTCTAAAGGCCTGCGTCCACGATGCTAGAACTTAATCCAAGTTCTAGTTCTAGTTTTAGTCTTTTGTGGAATAGCTGCAAGTTGATTGGCTACACATTTCTCAAAAATTTGTGAAGTCTTTTAAACATGCATTGCTATCCGTAAAATTGACATTCTTCGTTCTCCAAATGTCCCGGCGGAGTTGAAAAGGATTTTTATTGATACCGATTGATATACAAACGAGTTACCACCTGATTATCTTTCATCCTGATCGAACTGAAAATGCTAAGCGTGTCAGTTTCGTCGTGTCGGCCCGCGTTTCGACATAGGCCATTCAATAATTGCGCGCAATTACGGAAGATCGGAACGGATTGAGACGACGCTCTTTATGCTCTCTGGAGCGTAGAGCACCCGGACAGGAATGCCGTAATCTTTAATCCGCGAGGGTCGCGCACTCGCGTGCGTTCACGCGCCGGTGGTAGCGCGAGTTAATCCCGCAAAGTGCGAGAGCAAGAGATACTCTCTTTGATCTCAACCACAAAAGCCGCCACACGGCATTGACCGTGGTTTATATACGCCCATGGTTTGTATGAGCCACTGTATTTGCTAGCTCACTCATTCATTAAATTCGTTGTATAATTAGGCTCGCCTTTCGGGACCGTCGGACGAAGGAGGGAACTGCCTCGGGTGCTCTCTTCTCTTTTTTCCCCTTCCTCCGAAAATCACGCTGCTCTATTTTGTCGTACGCATTCTTTTTTCGCATTCCATCCCGACGCGACGTTATTCTCGCGCGTTTAACACGCAGAACGTGCATCGAAGGAAAATGTATCGAGGCGAGTAACGTAGGGCGAGGTGGAAAATCGCCTCGTTTTGGGCGAGAGCACAAACGCGACGGTGATTTTTGCCAAATAGACGGTACAAATAAAAAATTGTCGGTCGCGCTACGTAACAGTCACGCTTAATGTGCGCGTGGAAACTCTTTTTCTCTCCTTATCATTAATCATTTATTCGCGCACGATCGACAGTGGTCCACTTTCCAGCGACCTTTTCACGTACGATCCACACGTTCGCGACAACAAACGGACGGTAATTAGTGGACGCTTCGTCGCGAACAAATCGCGAAGTATCGTAAGCCGGATGCGCATTATCTGTGGATCTATAGATTTCACGTTACTACAATGCAATAACGCAAAAAGTCCGAGGAACGTTCTTGCAAATGGCACAATATATTTCTTTCCTTTCTGCCCCTCGATAAAAAAAATTATAAATTAAGTTTAAAATAAAAATCCTTAAACTCTCTCTTCAAATATTTTCCAGAAATAGCTTTCTATCCGGTATTTTAATGTATAGTTTCGCTTTTTTCCATTCGTTTATAATTAAAAAATTATTGATAATCCTGCTAAGAAAAATCGATGTTGAATCAACGAAAGAATTTACCATTGGTATTCAATGTTTCTGCGTATTCTCGCTAAAAACGTCACGAGTTTTCCCGCGTATTTAGTAAAAAGGGAGAAAAGCCACTTCGCGCTGCCGGTCTCTCAGATTTGACAGTTTTCACGGAGGGAGGACCGTCAGGTCCTGTTGTGAGGAGTCGCGGTGCAGAAACGGCGCGCAGGATCACGCACCGCAGGACACGCGAGAGGCCGACGCGGGCACGAGGAGCCGACGACGAAGAGAAAGAGAGGAGGACGAAGGACGGTGAAGAAGAGAAAGGAGGAAGATCCTATGTGTCTCCCCCACCAGAGGTAGGTGGTCCACGGAACCGCCTCCGCGGACGGTCTGCCATCCGCCCGACGGTTTCGGTGCGTGTGCCAGACGTGCGCTCGTCTCGTCTCGCCTCGGCCTCTTCCAATCCGTGGACCAACCTGTGCGGCTGAGCCGTGCAAGACGGCTTCCTTCGCCTCCCTGAATCCATCGGGTCCATCGTCGCGTCTCTCCTCTCGGCCGATCAGTCGGCCATCGGAGTTTACCTGATTCGCCAGTACCGCCGCGCCGTCGCGTCTCCCGATCTCGGGTATCCATTCGATGTCGCGAGGTCGAGATCGGATAAGGGACGACACGGCGTGTCAGTTTACACTATCTCCCGTCTTCGATAACCGATAAAGAAAGAAAGAGGTGGCGACAGTACAGATAAAGAGACGCCGGGGACCTGACTATGACGCGACCTCGATGATCTCGAGGTCCGCCAGGACGAATCTTCTCCCGCTCGACGTGTGGCACCCCTCGAAGTAGCGTGCCCCACGACCACTCTCGAGCTGTCTCGCATCGTACGCGAGAAGGACGCAGAATCCTCGAGAAAGGATCCATTGACGAAAGATAAGTCGAGGAGCAACAGCTCAGGAAATTCCCGAAGAGAGTGCGTCCCTCCTCCTTCCTCAACGCGCGCCCCGTCGCATCGGTTTCCCGTCTAATGTTTCTCGGAGCCGATAACGAAGTGAATCTCTGAGTGATCTACGAGTTCGCGGGAATCGGTTTTAATCAATCGGGATAGAGAAAAAAGATATATTCGACGCGCGGATGAGGGTCGCGCGGGGTCGACTAAGTAGCCATAAAGAAGATTCGGCGACCTATCCGACCCGACAAATCGCACCCAGATAACCCTCGATTAATTATCGAGCCTCTCTCTTCCTGCGCCGGAGATCTCGTACCGAGAATCCCGCCTGTTAATGCGACAGATATCCACGAGATGCATTTTACAATCAAAATTTGCCGTTTAATTCGCCGACGATTGTCCGAGTGACATTTTTCACGTTCGAGAACACGTTCTTGAGCTCGCGAGACCCTCCGTCGTCTATGAGAGACACAGTTTTTGGTGATCGTGGGCATCGGCCGCCGTCAGTGACAGTGTCTTTCGTTTCATTGGAAAATGGAAGGCCATCACAACAACAACGGCTTGGAGGGTAAAGCCGGCTCTTCCAGCAACGAGCACAGCAGCAACAATTCCCTGGACGATGCTGTGGGCAAGCTGCTGCAAGGTAGGCATTTTACAATCGCCCAGGTAGCGAGCTAACGTTATTTATCGCCAGTTTGACGATAAATAACGTCAGCTTCTACCTGCGACGTATAATCCTATAAAATAAATAATAAATAAATACATTTTTTTAATTTAATGAGCCTAGAGAGAGCTTCATGATAACCAATATTCCTGGAAAATAGTGAGGAAGAGTTAAATTTCATCGATATTCACATTTCGAGAGGAGTTTCAATCAAGAATTAATCGTGCAAGAAGAAATTATGTCAATGAATAGAGAATAAATATCACGAAGTAATATTTAAATATTTAAGATAAATTAGCCATTGGTAGTCTGCTCTCTAAAAATCACTCGGAATAATCAGTGACTATTCGCGGTTTTCAGCGATAATTAATCCACTGATTGATTTTTAGAGAGTGGTTTAAGTTTAATCATTCGCGATCTTTTGTACCGCGAGATCTTAAAAGGCGTGGTATTTTTTTTTTTAAGAGAGAGACTAGAAAAATCATAAAGCATTTGCGAAATATTATAAGGAAATGTGTGTGCGACGCTTGGACGCGAATGGCGTCGACGAAGCAACGAGCTGCAGATTTGAAATTGGCAAAAATTATCGGTCATCCGAAATAGCACGCGAAGCGCGCCATTCGCGTCCATTCGCCGCCGCGTTCTTTTTCGCCCAGTCGTTGCAGTCTTTATCGAGTCATTTAGGGAGGGAAGGCGACTGGGTAATTGGCGCTGAAAGCCCGCGTCGCCGGCCGCATCGCTCTCCTCTCCATTTGGCCGCACGCCGATTTATCCGGGGCGATACTCGCGAGAGTAGAAAGCGGAAAGCAGGGGGTGGCGGCCGACAAGGGGGAGAAAGAAGCTCCGCGGTAGTGCGGAGTCGGACGAGGCGGAGAAATATAGCTATCGTCTCTCTCCTCGCGAACGATCCTCGGCTATATATTTCTCCGAGGGCGGGAGATTCGCGAGCGCGCGGCGGCAGGTGCTGCGAGCAGAGCGAGACGAGGCGTACACGCGCCTGCCACCGCCGCTAATTATGTTAGTACCGAATTAAATCTGAAAGATCACCGTCGCGGGAGGGGCGCAGGGTCTATGATTTACGGCGCGCGTCAAGACTCGGTTTTCGCGACGAGTTTCGCCAGCGAGACAGAGAGAGGGAGAGAGAGAGAGAGAGAGAGAGACGCGGACGCGTTCGTCCGCCGCCACCGCGGCACCCGGACAGGTGGAAATCGCCTGGGGATGATATCTCCGCCGGATAACTAATTCTGTCCCGCGACGTTGGACAATCGCGACGCGAATAATTACGAGGATTAATGGGGTCTGGTCGATGTAGCGGATTAGGAGGAAGAGCCGCGGACGCGCGTCGCCCTTTTCTCGAGTCTGGCTTGGCTATTCTAGCCGAGGGGTCTAGATGCAAGATACGCGACTATATCGGTATCCCCCGGCGATCTTTACAGATTCACCCGGGCACGCTTCAAATGATGCGAATACATTCCCAGGGAGGATCTCCCTGGGGGGGATTTTCGACCGATCCACTCGGCGGAGCGTACGGCGCATCGTGACGCGCTCCCGTTTTAAAATCAAATCCAAGATGTGTTTAGTTAGATTAGGCAGTGCCAGGAACGACGGCGGAATGACGGACACTTGAATTTGTTGATGGTTGAAGTTGAAAAACCGGCGGCACGCGCGGGACGCCGAGCGCACGCAGGAATGTATAATCCAAATAGTTTATCATATAGCTCGAGAAGAGACAAGCCCGCGTCTGCACCACGAGTAAATATTTGATCCACCGGTGCTAAGCGATGCGCATTTCGTTACAAAGTATCCACTCGGCGAAAATACAGGTGTCCCTCGGCGTACTACTCGGCAATACGAAGTCTCGGATAGATCTGCGTCTCCTGGAATTTTACACGTTACGCAATTACACGAATTACCGCGTTGTCTGCTTAGCGAGAGCTCGCGTATCTTACCCGCGCGTAAAATTTCCATTATCGCAATGTTAAAATATCCTGTAATATCACGGATTGAAGCTAACGATACTATTTTTCCTACTGGATTGCGCTTGCGAGAACCAATAAGGATGCAGACTTTTAAATCGGATTTGGCTCTCGTAAACAATCCAGTAGAAAAAATAGTATCGTGTGTCGTTGGCTTAAGAAAGAACAGTATCCTCTCATGGACAGCGGGTTGATGGCTAACGCATTTTTATAATACTTTACAGTGTTACGTAGCTATGTTTTAAAATGTTATAACATTGCACAGTTCCAGTCCAAGCAGCTATCTCCGAGTCCAGTCTCATCCGACTTGGTTTAAACATTGATTGTCTCGTCTCATTTGATCCTGAATGAACTTGTTTCGCTGATTTGCGTTGGTACCGCGTTGGTACCGCGTTGGTATCGCGCAAAGTCTCCTCGCGAGATCGGACGGCGCGGCGCGAGCCGAGGCTCGGCGGGCACGTGGCGACGAGCCACGTAGCGATGTCAAACATCGACGGGACGAGGTGTCGAAGCGTTTAAGAGGGCCTCGTTAAAGGCGGGAGGATTTGTAACAGGCGGATTTGTAAAGGAGTTAATGTAGCAAGAGTCGACGACAGGTCGCCATTGATGGCCGAGCACACCGGTTCATTCACCAGGCCGCACAACCCGCCTATTGTGGCACGGGCGCGCTAACTACGGTCCTGATCTCGCGGCTCAAAAGCCATTCACGATCCTGAAAAAAACGAGCGAGTTCTCGGCCACTCGCCGATCCGCCGATTCACCGAGTCGTTACGCCCGTAATTAGCCAAATCGAAACGAGGGGGAGAGGGGCCTAAAATTAGGCGCGATCGCTGGCGAACGGGCGCTCTCTCGATTCCGCGATTTGCGACCCGCCGCTCGATCGCCGGGCGTACGACTATGTTCGATGCCAGAGATCGATTAATTCACGGATAACGAATATGTCAACGTCGCCTCGAGATAAAGCCTCGTTGTGCCGCTTAAATCCCGCTTTATTTCAGACGATCGTAACAACGTTGTTTTCTAATTCAACTCTACTCGCGAGACAGATCTTCCTTCTCTTCCGTACAATTATTAGAAAGGCAGGGGTGCAGAAATGCCTCTTCTCGCCGTTCTATGTAAAGCTCCAGCGATCGAGGGGGTTCACCTACATCGTCGGTACCGTTCGGCCTCAAAGAGGCACCGTCCCTCCCGAGGACCGATGCCCTTCTGCACGCCTAATCGACCCGGTTCGCGCGAAATTCCCTCTATTCCCGTCGCCCTTCTCGCAGAGCCCTTCCGCGTTTCCGTGTAAAATTGTATTTCGGCCGCGGCTATCGGCGCAGGCGTCGACGAAGGACCTCCCCCGAACGCTGAAAGGCACCGACACAAGTGCCGCGCCAGTGGACCGTGGACCCACGGTAATTAGCTCCCACCAGCTCCCAAAACCCCGGGTTGACGCTTCGTCACGTGCACCATCTTTCCCGTGGTCTCGCCCATACCCTGTTTCCCCCGTCCACTCTCGTTGACTCGCTCCTCTTCTAATCGTCAAGTGCTCAACGATTAGAAGCACGAGCGATTAGAAACAAAGTGTCTCGACTCGGCCTCGATGCAGCCAAATTTATATCTTAATTCAATTGTTATCTTGTCAAGTCGATATTTTTAATCCTGACACGCGTAGTGCTATCTTCTTTCTCCATCTTGTTTCAAGATATAATCGTATCTTGTTCCGTTAAAATAATTGTTAAAAGATATTGGGACCGGAGAGGCTGATGGATGTTACGCATATTCAATCCACGACTAATTAGAAGCAAAACATTCCTGAATCTTTGCCGCATTAGGTATTTATTTGTACAAAATAACGAGCGAATAGATGAACGAGATGGCTCCTAGTCTGCATATTCCTCCAAATGACTCACCGTCGTGTGAGGAAAAGGATATGTTATAAGGCGAGAGCTTAATTACTGGCCCAAGTCGATTTCATCAATCTTGCATACGCGGGATATTACGCAATTTCCGAGCTGGCCTAATTACCGTCCTGCATCCCGAGCTCTTCCTCGTTCCTCCGGGAGTCTGCCTCCTCCAATTTGGACCAGACCGCGCTCTTTCGGGCGGGGGAATTAAGATTTAGGAGACCGCGGTGAGAGAGCGCAGGACAGATTTACATAAGTCGGTATACATTTGTTCGAAGGGAGACAAGGTTTTACGACCTCGGGCTCGCCCGGGGGCTTCTTTCCCACGAAGTGAAATGTAGGAATCCACATCCGGAGCCGAATCCTTATTAAGCGATGCGGAATTTTCGGTAATCCGGAGCACTTACGTCACATAACGTCTCGGCCATATAAGTAAGCCGACACTTCGTAATGAACTCTGATGTTACTCCTGACACACCCGCAGCCTAATTCAACCAAGTTTTCTAATACGCGACACGTATTAATACGAGAAACGTAAGTGTACAAAATAAAAAATTATTCAATTTTAACGGTAAAAGTTAAACGTCGTTTTTCTGGCTCAAATTAAGACGTTCAATTTTAAATAGAAAATAGTACTCGACATTCTCAAAATTGGTATTTACAGGATATGATTTTCTTTTTAATTTTCCCCGTGCATTCAAACCAACGGCTGATGTTATGATCATCTGCCAAAGGAAAAATGGTTTTTCTTTACTGAAAATACGAGTCCCAAGTTGACCTACATGGTCCGAGATTCCAGTGAGCTATTTGTATTTGAGAGAATTTTTGAGAGACGATTACCTAGTAGTAATAATTAGTTTCCTGATGCAGAGGATAGCGAGAGAGCGAGAGAGAGAAAGAGAAGAGAAGAAAAGAAAAGAAAGAACATCTCTCTCTCTCTCTCTCTCTCTCTCTCTCTCTCTCTCTCTCAATATGATTTTCAGGTCGTAAAAGTCCTATCGCGTTCTTCATAAAAAAGTTAAATAAAGAGAAAACGGAAGAAGGGGAGAGACCGACGGCGCTCACAAATGTCGGTCGAATCGGCCGCACGAGCCGCGAGGATACAGGTGTAGTTTTATCTCGTATTCCTTTACAATGCGATTCCGCGGACAGGACTACTTCCGGTACCCGCGAGGATAGCAAGATACGAGCCAGAAAATTCCTGCTATCGCGTGTCGTTTATAACATACCTTTCGAGTCTGCTTGCCCTTCACGTCAAATAGAAAATAATACTAGGACAAGCTGATTTTTATTAATTTGAATACAGATGTTAAGCGATGGAAAAAACCGCCAAGAGATAAGATCGAGTGCTTTCTATTGACTAAAACTTTCCAACAATTACCTGAAATTTAATATTGCTGAAGATACTTACAAACTTTGAGAGTATTGAAGCTTATGCTGAAGTTAGAGTCACGTGATTTATTTCTTCCCGAGATTTCGAAGACTATGTTCGGATCGGGGGTTCCATCGTCCGCTGTATATTTGCAGGATACGATTGGACGCTACTTCCGGTGACTTCGCGCGCCGGCGGCCGAAGAAGCGCCCACGTGAAACGCCCGATGAATGCCTTCATGGTGTGGGCGCAGGCGGCAAGGCGAAGATTGGCCGACCAGTATCCGCAATTGCACAACGCCGAGCTGTCGAAGACGCTGGGAAAATTGTGGAGGTAATCCAGCTTCGACTAAACACAGGCAGAAACACGTAAACGAAAGAAAGAAAATGAGTCGTATTTTCCATTTTATACAGAATGATTTTAAAGTCTTTGCCTGGTTTCAAATTTTAGTAACTTCCGTTCTATATATAATAAGATTGATTAGTAAAAAGGAGAGTAAAGGCCGAATCAGGCTAGCAATTGCTGACTCGGATTGGAGTGGGATTGGCCATTGACGATTGTCCTCTAGCCAATGAGAGTCAATTAAATCGCTGGTTGCTTTGCCCTCGTTGACTTGAAGACACTCGCCAATCGCCAATCCCAACCGAATCCGCGTCGACAATTGCTAGTCCGATTCGGCCTTAAGGGCCGTTTTTTCCAACCTCTCGGTAGGCTCACTAATAATTAAATTATATGCATACCTTTTTGCAATTTAAAGGAAAAACAAAGGCACACATATAATTTTACTATTAGTTAACTTACCAAGAGGTTGAAACCTGCCCCAAATGTGGAAGATTTTATTTCAAAGAGTTTTATCCCTAGTAGCACAGTGCATTGACCAAACATTGGTTAAACATTGGCCCAATATTTGGTTGTATTGGGCGAATGTTTAGCCAATGCACTGTACTACTAGGGATGCATATTTATTCTTTATATTGTTATTTCCAGGGTTGGGAAGTAACTCGTTACTTGTAACGAAGTTACAGTTACTTTTTTTTATAACTCTAACTTAACTTCGTTACTCTCTCTCTCCATCTGTAACTGTAACTTGACTCAGTTACATTTTTTCGATAACTAGTAACTAATTTAATAGTTACATTACCAGTTACTTTATATATTTTTTAATTTTAAATAAAACTTCTTGTTGATCCAACTGGCAATATAATTAATTACGTGTTACAATTGGTACAACGTTTCGACTCAAGTACATGTTGGTTTGCAGTTCGGTTACTTGATAAGGACCTGATACTTGGGTCGAAATGTCGTACCAATTGTAACACGTAATTAATTATTATATTGCCAGTTAGATCCACAAGAAGTTTTATTTCAATTTTGATCATCACTGGTGACTTTAAGTATACTCCTCTACTGGTATATTTTAAACCTCCGCAGATCGCATTAGGCCTTGCATTTGCGCATAAACGCCATTATCGACGCTTTACAATTCAAATGCAGATTTAATTTTTTTATTTTCATTGCAAGAAAGTAACTGTAAAGTAACGATTCGTTACTTTTTGAGTAACTGTTACTGTAACGCGTTACTTTTCAGAATTGGTAACTTGTAACTGTAACTAGATACTTTTATAAAGTAAATTTCCAACCCTGGTTATTTTTCAATACATCTATCATCATTATATAAAACAAAAATTGAGCCACGATTATGAAATTCTACAAATACGTTTTGCACTCGATTTACAGTAACACTTTAAATCATGTTATTTTAATTTACAAATCACATCTAAAGAGCGAAGCTCTGATAAGTAGATAATAATTTTAGCGTGTCTCAGAAATAAATCTGCTCAGTACAAATCTAGTCAACGCAGTGATCGAGCCAACTCGTTGAATCCATCTGAGGAAACTTAATGTATAATTCACCGAAGTGTAATTCTAACGTTTTTTACAGATTAATTTCATTATGTATGCAACGAAAGTTACGAAAGTCTAAGACTGCACATAGTCTCACATAATCATTTTGTATAATGTTCGAATAAAGCAACGATACGAAGAAAAGATATTCGCATACGGCAGACTTGAAGCTAACGAAGCATCGCGAGAATGAAAGTAGAAGAAGCAGACGAAGAAGTACCCCACTTAGTTTAATATACATCAAATCAATTCAGTAGATGAAAGTCCCCTATTATAAGATAGGTTTCTAATATGAGATAGGCCTTTGAAATTCCAAATTCAATCACAAATCTCTTTTCGCAACGATTGCACGATCTAACAATGAATTTTCCACTAAACAGATTTTACTCCGAGGCAATAAATTCATAGTGGAACCAACAGATGACGTCTATTAATTTCGCAGAAACTCTGCTATCTCATATTAGGAGCCTATCTTGTAATAGGAAACTTTCCTCTATCTATCCTGTAAAATTCGATACTTTTGCGTACTTCTCGCGTTCAGCAGCGATACCGGAGATTGCGAAATGTGTCTGCCGCAGGATCCTGAGCGACGGCGAAAAGCAGCCGTTCATCGAGGAAGCCGAGAGGCTGCGGAACGCGCACAAGAAGCAGCATCCGCACTACAAGGTAATCGACCGCCGAATTAATCGACGGACGACGGCGAATCGCGCGGCATCATTAGGGATAATGCGAGGAATGTATCTCTCGCGCGTTACGAAATCGCGCGGATTCCGCGATCCGCGCGAGATGGCGGAACGAATTAAACGCGCGCAACGCGCGTTCATCTCCGGGCGCTCGAGTGGTTAATCGAGGCCCGATCGTCCGAGCGATTTGAATCCCACCGCGTCGACGATGATTTACGAGAAGGGGAAATGAATTCACCGCGATGAAGCCATCCGTGTCGCCGCTCCATGCGAGGCGAGAAAGTCGAACGCCGCGGGGACGAGACGCGGTAAAAGCCGGGGGTCTTCACCGGTTTAAGCTTTGTTGGAAAAAGAAAGAGCAGCTGCATCTAATAATCTATCCGCTAATTTTATCCAATTGTCTTGAAAGCCCGATTTCGTATAAGTTTATCTTGATAGAAATAATAATTTTCTTATGTACAAGATTTGTTAATAACAAGATATAACAAGACATGTAGATGTAATGTGCATGAAAGAAATAATGTACGCACAAAAGATAAGGTCGTTGCTATGAAATTAAAAATACAGCGTCACAACGCAAAATGGACAGAGTGAACGAAAAATGCTAACAGACATGTAGATATCAAACCTATGAAATTATTTCAAGTAAATTTCATACATGCCAATTTCTGTGATTATTTTGTACCCAAGCACGTAAAAATACATGTCACCCATACATTTTCTTCAGAGTTAAGCTCATTGGTTCGCTGTAATCACATCGGATCATGTCAGACGTACTGAAAATTTCAACGTGTAGCTCAAAAGAAAAAGAATTTATATGATTTCTCGCTTCTCGTAGTGCAATGTGGTTTCACAGCGGAGTGTCTCGAGAATTAATTTAAAAACGATTTGCGGTACTGTTCGTAGTATCAACCTCGTCGCAGGAAGCCGAAGTCGGACGATCAGATGGGCATCATCGTGCATAGAGGCGGGCTTCCGTCGCCGGCGACCTCGCTCAACCCCTCGGCCGGCTCCTCGGACTGCACCTACGCCCGCCTGTATCCGGACACCGGCGTGAAGGCGTACGAACGGCCGGCGACCTACCACGAGCCCAAGTCAAGCGCCTACGACCTGGCCCGACCGGTCTGGGTCAACGAGACCGTCGGCAAGTATCCCGCCGCCGATCATCCCAACAAGTCGACGTACGAGACGACGGCGAGGACCTACGCCGAGGCCAAGTGCCACGAGGTCGCCAAGTACCATCACGAGATGACTGGGGCAAAGTACCACCACGAGATGGCCGGCACCAAGTATCATCATCATCACCACGAGTCGGCGGCAACCAAGTACCCGGACCTGCAGACCAAGCCCTACGATCTGCCCAAGTACCCCGACGCCAAGGGATATCCGGACGGTCTCAAGTACTCGGCGGAGATGAGCAGCGGCGCGGCCGCCGCCGCGGCCGCCGCTGCCGCGAAGGCGCCCTACGCCTGTGTGCATGGACAATATTATCCTACCGCGGAGGGCTACGCCGTGCACGGTGAGGAGAACGATTACCAACAGGGTGTGTCGTCGCATCCCTCCTTTTACCCTTACATATCGGCGTCCATGGCGCAACCGCCGTACTACATGGGACCCCGATAAACCGCGAGCTGAAGACGAGGAGGCGATACGAGGGATTCTTGGAGATTCTTACGTGGCCGAATTGTGGCGTATCGAGTAAAATAAGATCGTAAACTACTGCCAATCGGATAGGAAACTATTTACGGACAAATTGGTCGAGACAATGTTTCTGATGAGTGAAACACGTCGACCTCCTCTTCTGACCGCGAGTCGCGTTTCATTTGAATCTTGATATAACGCAGAAATTTTGCAACGGCGCGTGCGTGTGTGTATGTACGCGTGTGCTTGATAAACTCGGAGTGTAGAGCTCGTAAGCGACCCAACGATATTTGATGCAGTCGAATACCGGGCGCCTAATGAAACTCTGTAAAGTACTTAAAAAAAGTAGCAGTTGTTGTACTTAACGACATTAAATTGATTTACTTCACTTTATTCTACAAAGCGATATTTTATTCGATCGCTCTGTAACTCCTTTTTTCTAATTTATTCTTTTCTGTAAACTCTGTGACACAATACGATAAATAAAACAAATCTATTATCTAAGTATCCTTGAGTCATGACTCGATGTGTGACGTTCAAATTCTTCGAGACTAGTTGCAGAAAAAAGAAACTGCAAAAACTGCTTTAAACACAGAACTTACGATCAGATTTATAACTTATATGTAAATTAATTAAATATATATGTATACTGACTATGTGTGTATTCTTATGCGAGATTTTCAGTGACTAGGACAAAAAGTGATTTCTGCTAAGTTGGAATCATAAAAGAAAAAAAGAGATATACGTCAGCATTCCTTGCAAATCACGTTGCCAACAATGTGAGCGGAATAAAGACAACATATAATATCACATTTGTCGAGACATCGATGGCAAGTGGCGGTGAAGAAGTTAACTATAATACACGCTACGTAACATGATAATTGCTAGGCTAATTACACAATCGTTAACCGAGCCAGCGGTAAATCGTCGATATAATTATACCAAGCGTGAACGTGTGTACGTGCGCGCAACGTGATTCTGTAACCAGGTACTTTTTTTCTTTCGACCCCTCGAGTCTCTCTTTTCAGTCCTTTTCCAAACTGGAGTCGCGCCCGATGAGAGTCGCCAGTTCCTGCACCACGTCTCGATTTGCGTACATAAACGCCTTCGCGGTCCAGATCATATTCACCAATATCTCGTCGCTCTTCTCGTCCATGGCGACCTCCGTCGACAAATGCGGGTTAAATCTGTAGTACGGTACGCCGATCATGGAGCACCAAGTGCGAGCTCGATCGACCACGCGGCCATCGCTGGCTGTCGCTTGGTCGACCAACAGCGTGCCGAGCGCCGAGATACCGAATGCGAGTTTGGCGGTACCCCAGAGACTGTCCGGCCGGAATACGTCGATCTCATTCAGGTTGCACGTGGTCGGTATGAGTCCCGTGCCGAGGGAGACCACCAGCGACAGCGGTACCATCTCTTTCTCGCGATCGGTAGCCTTCAGAGCCAGATTGTACTCATGAATCTCCGTCATGGCGTCCAGGGTGGGATTATTAGCAATCAGACCACCGTCCAGAAAACGGCCAAACGCCCGAAAGTACGACGGCGCTGCGCCGGTCGCCCTCGCCGCTTTCCAAAGCAACTGCTCCCGCGGCGACAGTGTCTGCTTGAACATCACGTTCTCCGGCAACTTCAAGATCACGCTAGGCGCTTCGTAGTTGCGGAACAGATGAAGATCCACGGGCTTACGATCGGCGAGCACGCCGGTGATCATTATCTTCGGTCTTTGAACATCCGCCATGACGGTGTCGGCGCCGAGACACTCCTTCAATACCTTCTCCAGACCCTCGCTGCTGTAGGGCCGCGAGCCCACGAAGGCGTTCTCCTTGATGCGAAAGTAGAGCGCCTGGCATTCCCGCAGGGATTTACCGGCAGCAAGGCCGAGCGCCAGGATGCCGCCGGTGGACGTGCCGGCGATCCAGTCGAAGCAGTGCACCACGGGTTTGCGCAGCACCGATTCAATCTCCAGCAGCGTCTGTATGAGCACCAATCCCCGAATACCACCGCCGTCCAGACAAAGAAGCCTACCGCCCTTGATTCGCTTACGGTTCCCGTGCTCGACCATCTTCTCCATGCCGGACACGTGAAGCATCTGATCGAGAATCGTGCGCGGCACGTAGTGCGGCGGTTCCGATGGTGCGATACCGGTATAGTTCTCGTCATGCTTGCAGCCGAGATGGCAAGCCGTCATGTCCGGCGGACACCTCTGCGCGCCCACCGCGTGCAACAAGTAGACTATCTTGTTGCCCTCGGTGGTGTCGATGTTCGCTTTGTGCCTGGGCGTTTCGGCCTTCCAGTTCCGAGTGTCGATGTCTGCGCCGAAGCCGACGAGCGCCTGCACGATGGCCGGTGTCTCCGCCTCGACCGCGAGATGCAGCGGCGTGTTGCCGTCGTTGTCGACGATGTTGACGGACGCCATGTGGCTCAGCAGAGCGACCACGCATTGCAGCCGTTTGCGCATCACCATCACGTGTAGCGCGGTGCGCCCGTTGAAGTTGAGCGCGTCGATGTCGCAGTTGGTGTCGATCAGCGCCGTGATCACCTCGCGACTTCGCGACCAGTGTAACGGCGTGCCACCGAACTTCATGTCCTCCGCATGGAGCACGTTCGGCTTGTTGTGCAGGAAATCACCAACGTAGCCGGGACTAGAGGGTTGGCCCTCGGAAGCGGGTATGTTCACGTCCGCGCCGATCAATAGGAGCGCTTTCACACATTCTGGTTTGTCATTCAGGCACGCGACGTGCATGGGAGTGTGGCCGTTGCTGTTGCGGCTGTTCAAGCTGTTTGGAAGACCCGAACCCAGAGCGAGAATAATCTCCTTGGTGGACGTGGCCGCGTAATGATAGACGGTGTTCGCATTGTGATCCAGATGCTCCAGTGAGCTCTTTGCCGCTATCAGCATCTCGACGGTGCGCAAGTTGTTGGTCTGCACGGCGACTTGCAGGGGCGAGATGCCGGTCTCCGAATCGCCACTGTTGAGCTGGCTGTTGACGATCGCGTGCATGAACGCGTCGTGGAGGGCGAAGTAGGCCGCTAAATGCGCCAGAGTCCATGTCGGGTGTTCCGTCAGAGTATCGCAGAGTTTTTGAATTTTCCCAACATTACACATCTTGGCGGGAAAAAAAATGAGATCAATCAATTATAAAAGTAACTTAAATATTAATTATAAAACAATACCGATTATAAAATCTTTCTTCAAGTACGTATAATATAAGACAGTACTTGTTTTATATTTTATCACTACTACTTTGTATAAATATCGAGGAAAAAATATTTTTACTGTGGCAGCGAAACTGCTACTGCATTTGCTGCCACTGCATTTGATGCAATAAAATTTCGATGATTAATTTTTCAACGTTACAACAAAATGTTTTTAACAGAAATTATTGTTCTCAGAGCTAAATAATTCTAGCAAAGTTGTGTTTCAATAAAATTAGTATTCTCAAATCGCATTTCTGCCCCAAACGACTAATGGAATTTGTTAAGACGGCAAATTACAATGCGCTGTGAATTATTTTTCTACGTGGTATATAAAATATAAAGAAACGTTACCTCGCGCACTATCTGCACAAGCACAGGAACTTTGTCTTTATATATTAAAAATCGTGCCTCCGCACCCTCCAGAGTGTCCGACCGAAACAGACTGAAACCAGACATATAAAGCTCAAGAAGCTATCCAAGTTTCAAGGGAACGATAAATTTAATAGAAAAAGAAACGTCAGATAAGAGAAAGCCAAGTATAAAGCTGATCAAGGATCCAGAGATTCCGCTATCAAATTCAGGTCAAGAAGTGTTATTCTCGCGGGAATTATTCGTACTATCGGCATTATCCGAGGAAACAGCTACTCTCGAGAAAACAACGATTACGTTAATTATAAATAATTGATAGAGGAAAGTCCGCTATTACAAGATAGGCTCCTAATATGAGACAGCGGAGTTGTCTGCGAAATTAACAGGCACCGTCTGTTGGCTCGCCATGAATTTATTGCCCTTGGCGTGAAATCTGTTTAGTGGAAAATTCGACCGTTATCGTGCGATCGTTGGGAGAAAAGATTTGTCATTGAATTTGGACGTTGCGAGCCTATCTCGTATCAGGCTGAAATCACATGATGCGGAATAGGAGTACGGAATAGAGAATGCGTTATAGAAACAGGCAATCAGAGCTTTGCCGTATCAACGAGTGACGGAAATGTCTGGTCCTGATTGGTTGCTTCTATGACGCACGTTCTATTCCGCAGCTCTATTCTGCACCATGTGATTTCAGCCTTAGAATCCTATCTCACGATAGAGAACTTTCCGCTAAATATAACACAATTGCGATATTCCTCGGAGCCAAGGCAACAAGTCGGCGAGACGCACCTGTACGCCTGATGCAGGGTCTCCGTGCACGGCCTGTGGAGGACAATCTCGTACTTGTCCTGGTACTTGTTGTCCTTACCGCCGAGCCCGTAGAGAACGATGCCGTCCTCGCGGGAGTGTATGTGCCGATTGCTGTACTGGTCCGGCCGGACCTCCTGGACGACGTTCGGCGGCGTGTCCGAGAAGACGATGTTCCGCAGCACGTTGTTCGCGATCGTGCCGAGCCAGGCCATGGTGTACGTCGGCGACGTACGGACGGGAGCGAGTGGAGCGAGGTGCGAGCGTCTCTACCGCGACGAGACGTTGTACAATTCCCTATTACTCATCGCGTTGCAAAAACGCGGCATGACAGCTCGTCCGTACCTTGCACCTTGCCCCGTTAGGTTCGCGCGAGAGATCGCTCCCTCGCAGACGGGCGACGATAATAACGGGCGACGAGCCAAGTCAAGGTCGACCGAGGCGAACTGAGAGACCTCGTGCAGCGAAGGCGTCAGGTACGCGAAGGGCTGCCAGCAGCTGGGGCTGGGGGAAACGCGTTCTCGCCGCGCGAGGAAGGCAACGTTGGAAAAAAGACTGACATAGGGAATTAGTCGAACTTTAGGATAATCGATTACTCGCTCTTCCGCTCCGAATTTAAAAGGTTGCCTGGGTGACGGCAGGATAAACAAATGCGATCCGCGTTTTGTTCAGCTTGGAAAAAAAAGGCTTAATTAGGTTAAAACGACTGATGTAAAAAAAGTATCAGTTCAAGATGTGAAATATGTGATTAAGCGTGTGTTTCAATTATTACCCTCTTTGTTTAATAAACTAGTGGAACTTACGTTTGTCAACGTCAGCCACTTAGCGTCACTTAACTCATGATAGCGTGTCGCGATGCCTTTGTTCTTCAATAAGTTTTCCCCGAAGAAGACGCCGACCAGGAAGGCGTCCGTCTTCCTGGCAAATAAAAATCTAAGCCCCAAACGAATAGAGAGGGAACTCGGGCCGGAAGTAGGCCCTATACGCCTTCGCCTTGGAGATCAGGAAGCAGTCTTTGAGGCTGGCCTGTGGATTCCAGGTAAAACGACCGTTTACCGCGCGGAAATCTGCACACTTTGTTTCCTAAATATATGAGAGAAAAAAAGAAAGGGGACAATTTTGTTCTAGAGTCTGGCAAGGCGGGAGGTACCTTCAAAGAGAACGAGAAGTTGAAAAAGGAAGTGAGACGACTGGAGGAAGAAAACAACTTGTTGAAGCTAAAGTTTGACGTACTGTTGGACATGGTAATATTTTTTAAGTTGCGTCTTGTAAAAATTAGAAATGTTAATCTCTGAAACGAAAAGTACAAAAGTAATAATTTAATCAACATTACAGCATCATTACAACACTAATAGAAACATGTAATGACGAGAATTGTTACATTAATTCGTTTACTGTTTTACAGCTAACGCAAACAACCGCCGAGGTCCACTCGCAGAAAGAAGAATTGGAGAGATTGAAAAATAATTTTTTTCACAACAAACGAGTCGCCGTTTAATCTGTTAAATTTTGATAACTGCGCCAAGAATATAAACAGTAACTATAGAACATTGACTGATTGTCAAACCACTTTCCTTTAAAAGAAAGTCTTATTTCCAGAATGTATGAAAGTTGTCAACGAGGTAGGAGTTGAGTCTTAGAGATAACAGTCGCATTTGACACTGCTCTGTACTAATTAAGCTTTTTACAACACTAATTATAAACTGTACATTATTTACGATATCGTAGAAACCTTTCACTCGTCAGTCCATCGCGTTTTCTGGACATGTGGTTCTCGTGTGACCTGTGAGAAAACGGTGTAAAATGTAGCAAAATACAACACGTACAATGAATATGATAGTCGATACAATTGAGAATAATTTTTTTTAAGTTAATAGGAGAAACAAAGGAAGAGAAGTAATATAACGAAAAACAAAAAATGAGTTATTTACACATTTTACCTTCTATTCCGCAAATTCCGCACTTTCTCTTGCTCCCAGTAAGTCTGGGCCTTTTGGAGGCATTGCCTCTATGATGGGTTCCGCCACGTGCTGTATTAGCTCTTCTTCTCGCAGTTGAATTGCCCCAGTCCGTGTTCTGACCACCGACGTCATCCTCATCTTCAGCCCACTTGAAGAAATTGCAAGTGGAATTCATACCTTTGGGGCACCCGTAAAACTGTCGTCCTTTATTGGGGCCATCCTTGTGAACCGTCAGCCTAAAGAAACACGAAAGAAAATATTCTTTACATACATGACAGACGTAGCTGTTAATCGGCGGTGTGCTACCAAGATTTCGACTCATTGTTTATTGATACACTGAGAAAAATGCTTTGATTGTATCAACAGGACATGCATGCTAGAATGTATTTTGGTTAAACCAAACAGAATTGTTAGTTAGCACGGGCTTGATATTGCAGAACCAGAAGTTTGCTAGACTTCACTACACATCTGGTAAATCCTAAAGGAATTCTGATTCGTCAATTTTTTAACAGACGACTGGTTGAATCTGCCAGATTTTTAATTAATGCAACCAGATTTGTTTTTCAGTGTAGCAATTAAATTCAGCCGAAAAAGGTTATCGTTCTTTCCGATCGAAGAATTCACTCACTTTCGAGCGGGCTGATTGCACTGGCACATAACATCGTTCGTGGACGGGTTTCCCCAGTCGTTATTAGAAGAATTGCCGACGCGAGAAAAGTTGCCAGTACCGCCATTGTTTCTGTCCCACCCATTATGTCTGTCCCAACTTGAATGTTCATTGGCTGCGTTATCTTGAGGCTCGGGGTTGTCGGTTCCCCACATGAAAAAGTTGCAACCGCTACCTTGCGGTTTAGCGCATTTGTAAAATATACGTCCTGAAATCACAAGTGTCATCCAAAGTGACTTGTGCGACAACTCGCCAAGATTTATATGCAGTTGCCCGCTTACCTTTATTCGGTCCCTCCTTTCTAACTGTTAACTGAATCGCAAGCTCGTGGCAATTACACATAAAGTCATTGTTGTCAGCGTTACCCCACATATCGGTTGTATTATTCGCGTTGCGAGAATTCCTAGCTGCAGATTGGTCCGATCTGTTCTGTGAACTGTCGTTGAGCTCGTCCGAATTAATCCAGGGAGCCTGGTTTTCTCTATTGTTCCACATTGTACTTCTATCGGGATTCGGCATATTCGATCTACTCGGTTGATAAACGTTAGAATGTTGGCTTTGGGCACGATTTCCAGATGTGCCGGAAGTTCCGATGAAGCCAACGTTGTTGTTACTTCGAACGGATTGTGTAGTATTAGGAACAGACTGGTGTTGAGTACTTCGAACGGATTGTGCAGTATTAGGAACAGACTGGTGTTGAGTACTTCGAACGGATTGTGCAGTATTAGGAACAGACTGGTGTTGAGTACTTCGCGATTGGGATGTACTTGAGGTAGAAGTGGAGCTCCATGTATTCCCCGTATTATTGTGACCGGACTGATTCGCCCTTCCAGTTTGTTTGATGCAGTCTTGCTTAATGTTCAACATTTCATCAAACGCAGTGTCACAGCCTATACAAGTTGTGTAAGAAGTGCCGTACAAGGGCATCACGTTTCTGACTAATTGGAACTTTAATTTGCGTATGTTGTCTGTACACTGAAAATATCAATCGTGAAGAAGCAAATAATTTGCAAAACAAATAGCTTGCAAATAACTTATAATATTTACGTGAATTTTATATTTTACCTGATTGCATGTTTCGTTCAAAACTTCCACATCTTTCACAGCTTCTGAGAACCAGACCACGTTGGTGCACGCTGGATATCCTATGCAAGTGATGTACTTTCCTCTGCCTTGTCGCCTCTCTTTTAGAATCATGTTAGAGCCGCACTTCGGACACTTGAACACAGGAACGTCCTCTGCTACGAGCCGTGCCTGCTCGGTTTGGATTGGCCTCTCGTCAAGATATTGCGCTAAAGAGTCGTCTATCAGATTAGCGCGTTCTATCGCCACTTTGAACACCTCGCGATACTTATTAATTTGATTTTGCAGCACTTCATTCGGGTTTTTCTGACGCTGGGATATCCTATGATAACGAAACGATAACGATTTATAAATGTCTCTTCGCGATATAGGACATATAGATAAGAGAGTATCTATCGAGCTGCTAATTGACTTACAGCTGTAAATCTCTTTCTAATTCCGCGCGCAAATGCGGTTTGGACATTTGGAAACCCATATTGTCGTAACCCATGACCAGACCGATCCCCAATTTGCCGGGCATAAAATGTTGAGTGTCCGTTAAGCCCACGTATTGTCTGGATTTGATGGTGTCGATGTGCTCGGCGTGAGTAGCGTCCGTACCGATGCCGTGCTTGTCCATCAGTGTGATCAACTCGGCCTCGGTTAATAAATTCGGTGGCGAAGTTTTCTCCTCCACCATGTCGATGCTGGTCGGTCGAAAAACCTGCCCCTGCTCATAGGAGTGAATCTGCTTGTCGTTCCATTTGTCATATATATACACGTCGAGATAATTCTTCGCTATGACTTCGAGGCCGTTAGCCGTGAAGCCCTCTCCCGCGATATTGATCTCCACTGTCGTTTCTCGGCCCTCTGCGTTCTTCGACAGACAAGCGAGAAAATGTCGAACGACAAATTCGTAGACCTTTGCTTCGTTTCCTGCGGACAAGTCTCGGACGATTAACGCGGTCGGTTTTAACGACTAGCAAGAACGGACTCTGAGGACAGACCTTGCAAACTGTCTGTATACTTTGTAGGATGAATAGGAGGATGCGCTTGATCGCTCTTCTTTCCTTGTCTGGGAGTTATTCCTGATTGCAGTAAATTTCCCGCGAAGTCGCCCCATTGCGGATTGACCACTTGTTGCTCCACCAACGGTGCCAGATTCAATTCCTTCGGGAATATATTCGTTTCCGTGCGCGGATAACTGATGAGACCCTGGGTGTACAATCGCTCCGCGATCCTCATCGTCTCCTTCGCGTTTATGCGCAACTTACGAGAGCCCTGCTTCTCCAATTCCTGAAACGACGATCTTTGAGCTAGAATGCCAAACATCTCGCGGTATCTCAACTCAGTTACTTACGACGGTATCCAGGGGCAGAGGTCTCCATTTGCTTTTCGGTTTGCATGTCACCTTCTCCACAGTGGCTTCAGGCCGTTCCAGGCACATGTCCAGAAAGATCTGACAAGGCAGCTTCTCAAACAATCTCACCCTGACCCATCTGAATTCTACAGATAACCCTTCGCGATCGTCGAGCACTCTCAACTTCCAGTACGGCTCGGATACGAACCGATCAATGGCGAGAAATCTCTCGACCACGAACCCAAGTGTCGGAAACTGGCAGCTTCCGTAACTGATGAGCAGATCCCCGAGAGTGTTGGGGAACACTTTCTGCAGCCTCAAAGTCTGAAATCTCGTGAACGCAGCACCTGTCGAGACGTTTGTCAATTAAAGATGTATCCACGTGGAATTTACTCAAAGCTCGATTACGACTAGCAATATAATCTTTGATGGAATCAGTACCGATTCGTAAGTCTAATTCGCTTCTTACATCTACGGCATCGCTTATTGCCTTATCTGGTTCTCCCAAAGTTTGCAGGGCTCTTTCGATAGACTGTCTCGTAATTTCCGAGAATTTTGCTCTGAAACAATAAAAGAGCGTCACGAATCTTGTCAAATGTGCAAGAAAAAAAGGACAGTGGAAAATTCGATCACCTATATACACGGATATTAGACCTGACTGCTTGGCAGACCTCAATAATCTCAAAGCCTATGTTCTCCCCCTCTCTGTCGCAATCTGTCCATATGACCAACGCATTACAGGATCGCGCCTCTCGCTCCAAGGTTTTCTTAATCTTCACGTAATTATCCACCAAGCACTGCTTGGTCACCGGAGCGTCGAACAGGCTCAACGGATGACAGCCGTGCCACTTGCTGTACGTTCCTGTGAAATCGTAGCCCAACAAGTGGCCGGACACAGACGTCATCAGCATTTGGCAGTTCTGGCCCCATAGTTGCACATTAAACTCAAAGATCTTGTTGTACACTGACAAACCTTCCCTCTGCAAGAGAAAAAGCACTGAGAAACGATACTTCTACAGATCTTTCGGTTCATCAAACGACTATGGATGCATTCCGTTTCACGCATGATGTGCATACTGCACCATTTGTCCTTCTTTAACATTTAGCGAATAACAAGGATAAGGGTTTATCCAGACAAACTTGCATGAGTGCATAAGAACATGTATAGAGAAATTGATTGGTTTATTTCCTTATGCATGCACTTATGGCCCAATCAGATTCTTTATGCATATGCTAGTGCGCTATGCAAATTTGTCTGGATAGAATCTAAATGATCATCATGCGTGAAACTGTACGCACTTTATGACTGAATAACGGGAAGCGTGTAGACGACGACCAAGTATCAGAGTTTATCCAGACAAACTTGCATAACACTGAAACATTATGCATAAGATAGAACCATAGGTGTATGCACAAGAAAATAAACCAATCAATTTCTTTAGGCACTTACGCAAGTTTGTCTGGATAGACCCTTACCACTCGCTCTGTGCACAACGCGCTTAAATGTTTACCTTTCTGCTGGCACCGCGCGACAGATAGCCTGCGATGTTCTTAGCCGCGTCGGGCTTCTCGGCAACATTGAGAACCTTCATAATGCGCTTCGAACAGTATCGCCTTAATGAAGAAAAGGCACTCGTGGGCCCTTCGCCAGGCACGCTACTCCTCAGACAGCGGTATATCGTACAATCCAATGCGGCGTAACACAATTTAGAGAGGGCCATAACATGATAACAGCCTTCGTGTCGTTGGCGATTTTCCGCCAGGAAGGTTACAGACTCGCTCCTTGCGGCGATTCGTTTCCGAAAACGTGTGACACATTGAATGACGTACAGACACGCGATTTATCGGAGCGAGTGCGTCACGTAACGAACGTGCGACGGTATATCCTGTCGCGATAAGCAGGTTAAAGGAGAGACCGAATTTCGCTCCAAAACTCTGTTCGCGTGCACCTAAGATCGACACTCTACGCTTCGCGAGGAGCGACGCATTTGGTTTGTTCTTTAGAACTGAACTGGTTGCACTAATTCAGCTCTAAAGAACAGACTCACACAACATTTTCTGCACCTTAGGGTGTAATCACACGGTACACGAATCAGCATGCGGGACAGAAAATGCGTGATTCAAACACTCAATCAACGCGGGATAGAAAAACGCAAAATTGCATAATTGCATATACAGGGTGTTAATAAATCATCGCATTGGCGGTATACCATCGGATAGCGTGCGAAAATCTAAGAAAAATGCCGTTTGTTACAAGTCGATGCGGTCATTACGTTCCGAGTAATTAATTATTGAAAATTAATAATTTGGGCCAATCAGCGCGCGAGCCCAACGGACAGGAGAAGAGGTGCCAAATTTAAGGGGGCGCCAGCGCCAGCGGTAAAGACGTACACTCGCAGACAGAAAGGTTGACTGCCTATACGTGTAGTATGGGATGGAGGGCGGGGGGGGGGGTGCCAAAATTATATTCGCCCCGGGCGCCGAAAAACCTTGCTGCGGCATTGCATGCAGCTATGCAATTTTATGTGCGATGGCCCTTAAACAATAATAGCTCATTCAGACTGGACGCGATGAACGACGAGCGACGCGCGATTATCCAATGAGCGTACAGGTTTTATGGAAAAGCGTACAGTTTTCCGCTAAAGACTGCACGCCCATTGGATATCGCGCGTCGCTCATCGCTCATCGCATTCAAGCGGGGAGCACACACTTTTGCACAAATGCACAAACATATGCATAACGAATTTGATTGGTCCATTTCCTTATGCATTTGCTTATAGACCAATCAAATTCGTTATGTATACGCTTATGCACTTACCCCTGGTCCACAATTTTGCTTTAAGTGAGCTGTAAA